TATTAATGATATTTTAAATTATATAGAATCTAAACAAATTGAATTAACTATACCAGATGATTTTTAAATTAAAGCAACCCTCATTATAATTTAACCAGATTGAAGCAACCTACTGTCATGCATCTTATCATCATTTAGTATTATTTATTTATTATTTTATTAGTATTTTTATATTCAACATTTATATATATTGTTTTAACATTTTATATCTATAGACACTATAAATAATAATAATAAAAATTGAGATAAAAATCTGCATCTTGCAGTAAATCTCAATATTGTTTATAATAATATGCCAACAATGCTAATACAATTTCTTCCAATTTATTTATACTAAATCATAACAACAATTTCTGCAAATGTATATTTATGCTTTTGTCACCAATTAAATTTGGGAGTGTGTTTTAATGGATGATAACAATTATTTTTGTTTATGTGTGGATCAGAATGAATAGGTTATTAACAAATTAATTTTGGTATTATATAGCAAATAATTTTGGTTAAGGAAGATGATAGTTTATTTAAATAAAATATTACTATTTTATTTATTTAGTTTATTTAGTTGAAACTAATTAACTTGTTAGAAAGTTACTTTTACATTAGGTCAAAATTCAGTTCTTTATATACATATTCAATTACATATGAGCCCGCATTGGGTAATTTTGCCTGGGTTGGGTGATTTCTCCCAGATTAAGTGCATTTGCCCAACATTGCATGTGAGCGAATTTGCACATCCTGGGATTATTGTCACTAATCTCTACTAAATAAAGTCAGGGATATTACCAAATATGGAATTTCTAAATACTGTAATAATAGACAACCTATATAGAACAAAAATGTTTGGCTAATTTTATGCAGATCTTTTCTTTGAAAAAATAAATTAAATTAAAAATAATGCTTTTTTATGAAGAAAAATTGTTGAAGGCTTTATTAAATGGTCATATAACATCCAAAATTATGTATTATGTTTATTTTTAACTGCTTTACAAGTCTATCAAAAAATAATCAATAGCTTCAAATTATAATCATAAAATTACCATAAAACTCAATAAATTTTTCATAATGGTTAAATATACTGATGAAATGTTTGAGTTATCATTCATTAGGAATCTTGTTAATATTAATATTAATATTAATTATTTAAATAAAAATAGTCACATGCATCAAGTTACCCCACACAGTTTTTCCTAAAATGTTAATATATTTCAGGGCAACTCTTAGGGAAAGCAAATCTTGAACACTTTTTTGGATGCAATGGGGTATGTTCATAAACCCCACCCATCATTTGTGATGTTCAAAATTATTAAATCCAAAGTAAAATTATTTAGTTGTTATGTTATAATATGATAAAGATTCCATTAAGCATCTAGTGATAACGGGGTTTTTAAAAATTGGCATGTATAACTTTAAGGTGTATTGACTTGACTATACATGGGATGGCAATTGCCTAATTACAGTAAGTACATAATATGTAATTATCATAATTGATTACCAAATTAATTACCATATTATAGGTGATGAAATTAATTACAGATGATTAATTACGAATAATGACGAATTAATTGTTGGAAATATCATAATAAAAGCCACTCCTGTTATAACAACACTCTCTGTACAAGCAAAAATGACGAGAATGACATTATAACGGGAGTTCATATAGAAGTCATATGAGAATCATTATCATGTGACTTTGTAATTTTATTTTTATTATATATTTTTTTTTATTTCATTCATGTTTTATACAATTCTATCAGGAAATTTAAAACTTATGCTGGGTCAAAATTGGCCAGCATTATACAGAAGTGTTATCAGAATTTTCCATGATGCTGGTCAATTTTGATCCAGGTGTAAGTTTTATTTCCTTATGTTTTTTCAGAAATGATTAGAATGATTTTGATTGGTTCTCCCATTATACTGACATGTTGCTATAACAGAATAAATTCTATAATGCTAAAAAAAGTTGACAAATTATGTCATTATACTAGTATAACAAGATAAATGATAGGTGTCATTTAATTTCGTCATTCATAATTGATTTCATCACCCGTAATTGATTTCGTAATTACATATGAGATGTCCACCAGCAATATGGGGTCTGAGAACTCCTGGCCAAAATTGAGTTTTTTGCATAATGTATATCTATATCATAAGGATTATAATTGGTGAAAAATTTAGAATATGTTTACCTAGTACAATAATGAGATACAAGACTTGAAATATTTACTTTACATATCAAAACTATTTGTGTAACCAATTTTGTTTTGATAATAACACAGAACAATTTAATAGTCTCAGACCCCCTTTTTGCTGGTGGACATCCCATATTAAGTATTATGTATTACATTTTTGGCAAAATAGTTTATATTTATGACAATTTATTAGCTAACAAAACCTTACTGATTGGGTATGGTGTCAATCATGTGATCAAAGTTATTAACTGAAAGATGAACTAGTGGCAATGTAACATTAGATGAATTGATTAAAGCACATAGCTTAAAGCAACTTGGTATAATAATTTATTATCTCCAATTGATTCCTTATCATGATTTAACAAATATTGAAAAGATGATGATAATTTAATTTGTAATCTCCAGTTAAGGAATATTAATGGGTACATGATAACAATAAGGCTGTTCAAATTTGATTATTAAGATCCTTTTTTTTGAAATTAGAGGGGAGGGGTAATTTGACAAACAAAAGCAAATCAGCAGAAAGAATTGTTGCGTGCAAAGTCACGTGGTTTATAAAAAAGAATTTTTTTACGCAAAATGGTTTGTTACACAGTATAATCACGTTTTTATACACGGTGCAACCTAGGGGTAGGGGGTTCAATACGAATGTTACACACTATGATTTTGCAAAACCAAAACTGTCCACTATATTAATTTTATATGTTTTATTAATAAAATTGAAAAAATGGAAAACAAAACACCCCCCAAAAACAAAAAATTGTCTGAACAAATATGCCACCAAAAAGAAACCCCAACTTCTTATTATCCCCAAGATATTCATTAATATAAAATTTTTTTTTTGAAATTTCTTCTTCAATATATAAGAGCATCAGGTTGTAAAATAATAAAAAAATGCCTAAAAAAAGAAAGGTAAGCTATATTCAGGCCATAATTACTTATTTTATTTTTATATTACATATTTTCAATACTATAAAAAATCAATAGGGACATGCTTTGAAGGATATTACCAATGAACTGGAACATAAGAAACCCAAACCAAATGAAGCTTTACAATTATTACTGCAATTACACCCTGATTTAAATAGTCAAAAAATATACTTTTTTCCTTGTATGAATGTACATGAAGAGGGAATACTTCTTTATGACCAAAAGGACAATTTTTATTATGTTAATGACATTTTAAGTGGCAAGAAATTTTACATTTTTTTTTTCTTGGATTTCATTTTAAGAGATAGTAAAAAGCTATATAAGGGAAACCATCCTCCATTGGCTACAATTTTTTAAAACCTGATCCATTTTCTGCTAATATAAGTAATATTCTTAGAGAAAAGGAACAAAAATATTTTAAATGAAAAGAAATTCTCTCTGTGAAAGAATTTCAAAAAGGGGTAGGGGGTTCAATACGAATGTTACACACTATGATTTTGCAAAACCAAAACTGTCCACTATATTAATTTTATATGTTTTATTAATAAAATTGAAAAAATGGAAAACAAAACACCCCCCAAAAACAAAAAATTGTCTGAACAAATATGCCACCAAAAAGAAACCCCAACTTCTTATTATCCCCAAGATATTCATTAATATAAAATTTTTTTTTTGAAATTTCTTCTTCAATATATAAGAGCATCAGGTTGTAAAATAATAAAAAAATGCCTAAAAAAAGAAAGGTAAGCTATATTCAGGCCATAATTACTTATTTTATTTTTATATTACATATTTTCAATACTATAAAAAATCAATAGGGACATGCTTTGAAGGATATTACCAATGAACTGGAACATAAGAAACCCAAACCAAATGAAGCTTTACAATTATTACTGCAATTACACCCTGATTTAAATAGTCAAAAAATATACTTTTTTCCTTGTATGAATGTACATGAAGAGGGAATACTTCTTTATGACCAAAAGGACAATTTTTATTATGTTAATGACATTTTAAGTGGCAAGAAATTTTACATTTTTTTTTTCTTGGATTTCATTTTAAGAGATAGTAAAAAGCTATATAAGGGAAACCATCCTCCATTGGCTACAATTTTTTAAAACCTGATCCATTTTCTGCTAATATAAGTAATATTCTTAGAGAAAAGGAACAAAAATATTTTAAATGAAAAGAAATTCTCTCTGTGAAAGAATTTCAAAACTCAAATACAACAAAGAGTTCATGAAAATTCATTATATGCATCAGTTATTATCAAAGAAATATCTAGGGGTGTTGAATTAATGGAAATTAAATATAATGATACAATTAAATGAAAATTAGTTATTGAATGGAAAGATACAATACTTATACACAAAATAGTAATAGGTAAAGATTTTGGCATGGATAAATTGACATTTCAAACAATTGAGGAAATTGAAAATATAATTGATAATTTTTTTCAAATGAAAATATACGAAGGTTTTTTAACTAAAGGTATAAATGTTTTATCATATGTAATTAATTATTTAAATGTAATATCTAATTAATCAATATTATCATAAATAAGGGTTTAAAATTGTACCAAAGGTTCATGGAATGTGGCTTAGATGAAATGAATTAGAAAATTCTTGTCATCAACCTTTAGCGATATTAGAAAATAAGGACTCTTCAGAAGAATGTTATCAGCATATAAACTGTGAACTATTAATTACCCTTGACTTTATGTGTAATAATTGTAAAAAACAATAAAATTCATCTCTGGTATCAAAATGGTGTTATAGGCAAAAGTATTGCACATTCATCTAAACAATTATTAACTGAAATAATCTTAAAACAGCATAATGTAAGTAGTTACATATGTTTATATTTGTAATATATATATACATGAAATTAATATGTATATATTTTATTAGATAATCAAGCAAAAATCTGTTGAAATTAAACAAATATGAGAAAAACTTAAGGCATATATTGAAAAGGAAGAAGCACCAATATCTACAGAAATGAGTAATTTAATAGAAAATGTGTCAGAAAATGTAGTTAATAATCAGATAGATATTAGTAATTTAAATCCAATTCTTCAAAAGTTGATACAAATTCAGTGTAGCAACAAAGAAAAAATGAAATACCATCCTATGTAATATTTTAAAATTGTATTTTAATTATTTTAATTGTAATATTGATTTTAATAAATGTTTAATAATTTATATGTATAATGTATGTAGGTTTATTTGTTGGGCTATATCAATTTATACTAGAGCAGGATACACCAATATTGATTCAAATTATATGCCTAAAGAAATAATTGTACTGGATCCAGCTGAAAATTACAAATTTGAATATATTTCAGGCTGGATATTATACAAGTTAATATGTGTTGATGCAAAAATTAATGCACATTTAAAAAAGGATGTTTTAAAAAAAGTACTACAATCATTATGTGAAGTAAAGAAAGAGATTATTCAAACTTTACACACGAAACAGTATTATTTGCCAACTAAAAGATTTATGTTGTTTATGTATAGAGTTGAATCCTTGACATTAGATTTATTTCAATATTTGAACCTAATATTTTATTGTATATAAACAACAATCAATACAACAATTGCTATCTTATAAATGCATTTCAATCTTTAATTAACAACATATGCATTGAATTGGATGAAAGCCTTGAAGAAATCAATATTGAATTTTTATTTAAAAGAATAATTACATTTTATAACAAAAGTTGACAAAAAACATGGTGTGAAACAAATGATCTAGTTCCTGAAAAAGGTACTGCAAGCCTTAGAGAAAATCTTAAGATGATGTGTTCAAAAAAAGTTGATAATAATAATAATAATAATAATAACAAAAAAGAAAATGTAATAAAAAAGACAAGCCTATCAACAAAACCCAGTTTAGCTCTCAATCAACTTCATATTTGGGCAGAATTGGAGGATGCTAAATTCATTTTACTAATACTTTTCAACTGAATTAATTTGGTTACTTAATGCCTTGGGAGTTACTACAGCATATAAACAAAAAAATTTTCTAGTACCTTTGCTATTACAACACTTGAAGGCCAATACACCATTTAAAGAAGAAGTATTAGCAAAAAACATAATGTTTAATAAATAAAGCTTTGACATTAAACCAATTATTGTAATTGGAAAATTTTGATTTTTGAAAAAAAAAATAAATAAAACTAAACTATAAATGTAAAAAAAACCTGACTACTACTTTTTTTTCACCCCAAGGAACCAACATTTTTTGAATCAAAAAGTGTTTATTTTTATTTGAAAAGTTTACAAAGTAAAAATGTTATTTTGTTATATAAAATTTTGAATTTTATATATTTCGAGGGAGGACAGTTTTGGTTTTGTGAAATCATAATGTGTAACATTCGTATTGAACCCCCTAACCCCTAGGATTTACTATTGATTTATCACGTGATTCCCCTACCCTTAAAAAATGGATGTTTTTATTGGTGCGACATAAACTAATGAAAATTATCAGCGATCACTTACTTTTTATGGAAAGAATTTTAGTCGGAAATTTTGAATTTGTTAATAAAAATTTTAACTTTAAAAGTTTATAACACAAAATTTTTATATCAAAAAAGAATTGAACCATATAATTTTGTAAGTTAATACCTAAGAAACAAAAGTATATGGTTCAATTTTTTTTTTTTGATATAAAAATTTTGTGCTATAAACTTTTAAAGTCAGGTGACCATTTTTGATGTTTATAGGTGACATGCACCATAGAAAACTCCCCATATATATGTACACACATATATACATATATATAAATTATTATTAAATAAGAAAATATCATTTTTATTTTTATTCTTATTATTATTTCAGAGATGACAGAAGAAAAAACAGAACTGAATATTACATGTAATATATAAAAGATTGTATATATATAAAAATAATGGGTATACTCATGTACATATGGGTCATGAGGTAAAATTAAA